GTAGGATGTAGCAGAAAACAATTTAAATTACAGTATCTCAATGTTTTTGCTACCCCTGTGCATAATTACAATTATTTGCAATGCTTATTGGCATTGCTAAGCTTGTCCACACTGTGCTGTTCAAAGGCAGCACCGGTTCTCAAAGGAAGGTACTGGACGTGCTGTAAAAGAACTGATGAAGTACACTGCTGGTAAGCGATAATATGTCAGCAAACACTTGTCTTGGGTGCCAGCATACGGGGGAATGAGAACAGGAATGCAGTCAACAGGAATGTAGGCCAAAGATGATATCCTGAACTTGCCACGTGCCGAAATATCAGTACGTTTCTAATTAAATTCACATGTACCTGGCGTGTGCTGGCAGACAAAGGAGCCCCTTGGACCAGAGTCCAGCAGGGGGAGTCGGGCGCCCATCACCGCTGCCTCGGGCCACCGCCAGAGCCGGGCCAGCCTTGCTGCGGCCAGGAAGGCCACGCCGGGGCACTTTCTGTTCCTTCTTTTCAGTGCCAGCTCAGTTTAGACCTGTGACTCACGTCGACTACCCTACAGTAATTTTCAAAGAATAGAAAGGCTAAACTACTTGTCTAATAATGTTGTAACACTAAATACGGCTTCTACCAAAAAACCCTCAAAGCCACAAAATCTTTTACAGCACCACACACAACCTCTGAACAACTTTATAACAAGTAATGTTATTACTTCAAAATATTCTACCTTTGCAAACTTTTCAGTCAATTCAATGTTTTGTATAAACTTGAGAACATCTTGAAGCAAAGCACTGGAGCCTTCCTGTTAAAAGTAATTACTTCTACTAAACTACTACATAACTATAGCAGCTTTACTATACTCTATTAACTGCAGTATGACTTTCACAAGAGATTTTTTTTTTTAAAAATCCTTTACTCATTTTGTGTTAATATAGTTAATGTCCCAAATAACATGTCCATGTTACTAAAAACATCAGTATTTATAACAGATGTTCTTCTTTTGGTAGACATCTGAAAACGAAGCACTGTTACAAACATATTTTCCCATCCCAAGTAATACTCTGAAATCTTTGTCAAACTTTCTTGCTTTCATCATTGCTCAGCTCATCACACAAACCATCTGCCTAAATAAAGATGTAAGCATCTGCTGTACGGCAAATGGTCTCAGGGGCAGATGTTTTTATCCTTGCATTCATGTCACTGGCTTGGATACATTATTTGAACAGATGTACACAATCTGAAAGTGTCGTGTCCCACAGTGAAATGTCTCCAACTGCTTTCTATCAAAGTACATAAATGCTATTTGCACCTGCATTTATGTTAATGATATAAAGGCAGCAGGGGTTCCAGCAAAGTGAGAGCTGATGCTAAGAAACACATTTACATGGCTAATTGAAGTTGGAGATCTCTCAGCACCAAATGACCATACTAACATGGACATAAAATGTACTAAAATAAACAATGACTTCTAAAAAAACCATATGATTAAAAAAAAAATATATACATACTCAAGGAGCTAAACTATGTTTTCAGACTGTGATACGCTTTTCCAATGTATATTTAAAAAAGAAAAAATATTAAATAAATTCCTAGATAGATGATGACAGTCTTATATTTTGCACAATAATTGTATAAGATACAGAATTATTTCATGTTAGAGTCATTTAATAAAAACATTTTATAAATCTGACAATGTCAAAGGTATTTCAGTTCTCTACGGTACATTGGAATTTTTTGTCATTATGGAGCACTATAAAAAAAACAGCACTTGCTCAACAGCAAATATTAACATGAGTGTGAATGACAGAATATGATGCTTCAATAATAATTCCTAGGAAAAATAAATAAAATTCTAGCACTTAAATATTTATCATTATTCAGAAAAGTGCATCTATTTGAACATGAAGTTACAATTGCTTGTTACATAAATGATAATGGCCTTTCTCATAAAGTATTTTAAATCGAGAAAAATATAGATGCCCTGAAGGAGTACGTATCAAATTACAGAACTTCTGCTATTACATGACAAATGGTAGCAGTGAAGGGTTTATGTTGTCACTCAAAGAACTTGCACTAACCATTACTTTCATACTCAACTGAAAAATAACAAGCACTTTCAAAGTATAGAGAGACTAGACAAAAATGCTATACTGAATGTTAACTGATGGATAGGTTCTACTTCCAATACCATTTATTTTCAAACCTTTTATTTTTAAGAAATGTACCAGTGTTATAGTTGTACATAAATCATTATAAATTGCTAATATTCTACACGTTTTCAAAGTGCCATAACACATTTAAGAAACAAAAGTGATGCTTGATACAAGGACAAAAAAGAGTGATAGCAAAAGAACACAAAAAATATACTGAGACTAGTATATTTAGAGAATATCATGATTTCACACTGATATAGCTTTTAGTCATGATCTGGTTATGATTTCTAACACGAATCCTCACTTGAAAAGTTCACAACACAGCTCTTGTAATTCACTCTGGGTGCAAATACATAACAGGATACTGACTGGAATGCATTTTTGTTTAAGAAAAAAAAAGTCTTCAGTAAAAATTCTCAAAGCAAATGATTCATCAGGCTGGAGCACCTCTGCTATGAAGATAGGCTGAGACAGTTGGGGCTGTTCAGCCTGGAGAAGAAAAGGCTCCAGGGTGATCTTACAGCAGCTTTCCAGTACTTAAAGGGAGCCTACGGGAAAGCAGGGAAGGGACTTTTTACAAGGGTGTGTAGTGATAGGACAAGGGGCAATGGATTTAAACTGAAAGAGGGCAGATTTCGATTGGACATAAGGAAGAAATTCTTCACTCTGAGGGTGATGAGGCACCAGAACAGGTTGCCTAGAGAAGTTGTGGATGCCTCATCCCTGTAAGTGTTCAAAGTCCAGGCTGGATGAGGCTTTGGGCAACCTGGTGTAGTGGAGGGTTTTCCTGCCCATGGCAGGGAGGCTGAAACTAGATGATCTTTCAGGTCCCTTCCAACCCTAACCATTCTATGATTCTATGATTCTATCAGTTTCAAGTTTGCAAACAGCTTCACAGTGTGTATTTTCCTCTTCTTATTCAGAAATGGCTTTAACCATAAAGATAATACATTCAATTTGTCTACAACAGTGGTCAAATTCCTGTTATTTAAAGGAGAAATTAAATTAAGGCTTTTAAGTATTAGAATTAAGTATTTCAGTCTTAAGTATACAGATGTAGAGCACACTGTAGGCTGAATAGCTTTACACAACAGTAAGTACTGTCTCCCTTGAAAGAATAGTCCTGTAAGACCCAGAACTCATCAACTAAGATCAATTTGCATGATATCCTCCTGGAATAGCTTTCTCAGAATTATTACAGTATCATAAAAACACTCAGGCTTCACGAAACAGGTAAAGTATAAACTTACAAGACAGTAAAAGTTCAAGGCTTCAAGTTAAGTAATAGATAGTGCTTTTCTTAATTAACCTAAGTACTAACAATGGAAACTTCACTGACAACCTGCAACAGTTCTGAAAGGTCCATTAGAGCTGATGTCATATCCATCAAACATTCACTCACATTTAAGAAGTATCATTAAAAATGACATTCAACTTAAAAATCATATTTAAACATTAGCATCGTGACACAGATCCAAAGGGAAAGGAAATTAAAGTTACGGCTGCACATTTAAAGGCTTGGAAATACACAGTTGAAGCCCAAATACCCTTACTAACTATGGAGGGAAAAATTCAAGACACCAACCTTACTGAAAACTAAATCGACAAGAGACAACTTCTGAAGTGACAGAACATAGAAGATACGCAGTTAAACACAAAAAACGTTAGTAAGGATAGGAATGCTGGAGAAGAGACACTTAAAATCTAAAAATCTAAGTTTATATTTAGAAAATATTTCTTTTCTTGTTTGTGCTAGTATTGTAGCATAACTTGAAACAGATTTGACCCTCAAATATATAGGTGTCAAATATGACAATGATTTTCAAATATGAGGACAAAAATCTGTAATAAATCCTGAACACTTAATTCTGCTGAATCAAAGAAGTAGATTTATGTATTTCAACTATAGGTGGTAACAGTAATTAGCAATGTCCTAAAGAAAAAAACAAATCTTAGCTATTGCCATTGTTTAAAGTGATAAACGCTGGCATATAATGGCTTCTTTTTTACTTAAACCATATTAGATAAGTAGACATGAGTAATACAATGATTTATTAGTGATTATATTTCTTCCACATTTTGAATCACAAGCATCTAATGTCTCAAAAAAAAAGCATAGAAAGTATACTGTACCTGCAGAAAAAGTTAAAGGATTCTGCATTATGCCCTTTAATAACTACGACAATGTTCCTGGAAAGAAGAAATACAAATACTTAGAAGTTCTGATAATTTTTCAGAAGCTTAAAAAAAAAATAAATAAATACAACAATGGCAATAGTATTCCAAAATTGTATTTCAGAATGCATCCCAGTATGCCCAAACCTCATGCAAAAAAACATCGGAGTATTAAACCAAGTGTTTCTCTGGATCACACATACCTTTATATGCGCTCTCTTTATTTCAACACTGGCTACAAGTAACTTAGGCTTCTTGTAATTGAAAACCCCCATTAAAGCAAGAGAAGAGGACATGTCATGAATTCCAGTGTGACAATGCATTCTGAAGAATCACAGACAACGTAGGGGTAAGCAATCACTTCCCTTCAAACATCTGACTGCATGGATCCCATATAACTAACTGATAAGCAGAATTTTCCATCGATGCTACAATGAAGATATCAGCTGGCATTTGTGAAGCAAACATTATGCTGTCACCTCTCCTGAATTTAACATTGGTGCTTACCACAAAACTTGATGCATAATGTTTGACATAAAATGGCACTACATCAAGTGGCCATCCAGTAACTTAAGATCCGGCCATTTCTTTCCAGTACAGTCAGACTGTGTGGCTCAAGCTTTGGTCAAGTGTGATTCAACAGCCAAGTAAGAAAGACATAGTATAATATAATGACAATATAAAATTGTGTTATTGTCCACTTAGATTTTCTTTAACATAAAATGGTCTAGCTTTTGGACTAGCTGCATAATTGTCTGGCTCAGTTGACTACCACTAACATGTCAAAAGTCACACAGATTTAACACTCTTGTTCTCCTGATGCTTTGGAAGGCTTCAGGAAGGTAACAGACAAGTCCATTGACTGACACAGACAGAACTCCAACGACCTGAGGGTTTACTTGGATCTAGGCTTTCATACCAGTGCATATCTACACCATTTCCCATGAGCAGAGCCAGCTGTGCGGATGTGGAGTTTGCTTCCTTTCCTGGCTGATTTAACAACCAGTAGAATTTTACATAAAGAACATTCCAGACATGCACTCAAGAGCCCCCTGCCAAGCACATGAAGTACCAAAAGATTGGGTTTGGATAAATACAAAAAAATTTAGGACAAATTCTGACATAATTACCAAACACAAAAATAAGTCTTGAACATGTTTCTTTACTATAATGCAATTGACTCTCAAAAAGCAGTGGTGACGTTCCAGGAAGGAGATGGTTTTGTGGGCAACAGTAAAGTATAAAAGAGGCAAAAACAATGGCATTTCCAGGAAGTTCAAAACCAAAGTATAAGAGAAAATTGAGTGTGGCTGCTGTGAGGAGACCTCTCACTCAGCAAACAGGTGAGGTTCTTTGGTATCTGTATCTTCTGTGCTGAACCATATGTACCAAGAAGCTCTTGTATGGCAACCAGCACCTCCTGCCATGTTTGCTGATGTGGATCAGCAGATCCCAGGCTGCCTCAAAGAGCCTCTGTCCGTGGTACTTGCCCATCACCCTCCCGTCTGTCAGACCCAGTACACAAACACATGTCAGCTCATCTAAATGGCGCTCCACATTGTGGTAAGGTACACACAACTCCCTCTTAATCTACAAGAGGGCAACAAACTACATTGAGGTAATTTTGGAATGTCAAAATACTTCCAGGAACCAGTGTGGATTTTCAACTCACCAACCACAGGATAAGGCATCCTTCTTTAAAATCGTATTGCTCATTAAGATCTTTCTACAGAATCACAAGTCAGAAGTTTTTCTTCAAGTGTAGGATTTCCAACACTTGAAAACATACTGAAGTAGTTACAGCAATGCATATTCTTGTTAAAAAATGTAAGAAATTACGTTCAAATGAAGGTTCTCAAAATTATTATTCTGAAGCCGTATTTTTATAGGTTCTTATGGTACCTCTCAGTTGTAGGGAGCATTGATTCATTTAAGAGGGTGCCCCACTTATGGTTACTAATTCCTCTTCAAATTATAGAAAGCAAACTAGACTTTGGGATATAGAACAATAATTCTTAGAATACCATATGGAAATAAAAGCTCCACGTCTTCTTCCAAGTATTCACAAATTCTAACACTAGGACAGAAAATTGGACTATACAAATCCAAACATTTTGTACAAGCATCTCTGATTTGAATTCAGCCCTAACTGCAGTAAGACAATGGCTTTGATCTAGAAAATCCAGTGCTTATTTGTCAGACTAGTACATTGATCATCTACTGTCAATTAAAAAAAACACATGTAATTTCTGAAATTAACTTTTCACCTTATAGCTATTCGTGACTATTTTTTTAATTGTTGTTATACTGAAGAACTTCTTATTGTCCTTTATTTTTTCAGATATTTAATCAAGTAACCTTTCCTTTTGGAAAAAATGAATAGCTCAAGATTTTGAAGTCAGGGCAAGATTCTTCTTATCATCTCTTCCAATTTTTCTATCCATTGTTATATGTATTAGTGCATGTTTTCTTGAACAGAAACACGGTTTACAAAGCAAACCACGTAAGTTTGTGTGACTGTCCTGTCTGCATTTCACACTATTTTCAAATTTATCAACACTGATACTGCCTTCTTGATCACTGCCTAGTGCTAGTCTTGGAACCAGTTCCACCACAACTTTACTATAAGCAGAATGATTCATGTTGCTTTCTCATTTCTCATCTTTCAGCTCGGTTGTAACATGTTTAACAGACACTTAATATCTACATACATTTGATGTATGTGCTAAACATAAACTGTAGTCTTATCAAAAAGTTCTGACATTTTTAATCAATGCACAGTGCAGAAGTTGAAGGATGTAACATCTATATAGCAACCTATACCTGCCCTCAGCGGAATTTTTTTTTTTAAATTTGATTATAAATCTGGCTTGGCGTAACTACTTCCCATAAAAAACATGTTGATTTTCAAAAAAGAGTCAATCTTAGAAATAAAATTATTAACTAGATTTTATATCTGTTTTACACTTTCACATCCAGAACAAATTTTAGGTTGGACACCACTAATAATTCAGGAAGTTCTTTCCAAGTACAGAATATGATGTTGATAATTTCTACCTGGCACTATCATCACCCGAGAGACTATCCCAACGATAAAACTTTTAAAATTCTATATAATCTTTAAATCTGTTTTGCTCAGTTTGTAACTCTACCATAGGACAATAAATAAAATCATTCAAATCACAGTACTCCAGAACTCGAAACAGTTCCCTTGAAATCTGCTGCTGATTGCTCAGAGATGAAAAGAAATCTATTAAGGTATTTCAAGAGAAGTGGAGTTGGACAGAATTAAAAAGTAAAATGTAGCTTAATGCCATAAAATAAGCTCATCATGCTTATACTACTCCTTATGCTACCACAGAATGAAAGAACAAATGAATTTTCAACCAGAAGCAAAAATATAAAATAAACTGGAAAAAAAACCCTACACTGTAAATTAGTCTTTAACAACCAAAGGAAGCAGAGCATATACATGTAATAATTTAAAAGCAATTTTCACAGAAAGATACCCACAGGTCTTTTATATGAAATCGGTGTCCTGATAGACGAACTGAATCTGAATATCAGGTGAATCCAATTAACCTAATTTGATACTTGTCCATACTAAGACATTTATTTTAGATGTTACACCAAATCCTTTAGGATACTACACAGAAAATGATAAACAGGCTGTAAAGGTTATGACATTAATTTTACTGTCTTTCTCATGCTTTAAGCAGGCATAAAAACTCAAAACCTCATCCTCTGGGAATGAGGAACTATCTGAAAGTAATTATAGTACTTATTATCATAACAGTATTAAACTAAACCACTATGACCCTAACTGAATTTATTTTTGGTACCTTTTGTTAAAAGAACAAAGCTTCTCAGTGATGACTGCACCTTCTAATGGAGTAAACGTTAGTTCAGATACTGGAAGAAAGCATTAAATCAAATCTTATAATTTCAGATTAAGCTTAATGATGAATTTTAATTTAAAACAAGACATGTAAAGAAGTGTTAAATATTATTACATAATTCCATTTCAGAAGGAAAACATTCAGTTAAAAAGAAAAATTAAATACTTAGTACAGTTTAGAAAGGACGTTCTCCTAACAGAAGCCCATGAAACGTCCACTTGTACTTCAAAGGCAATTTTATCCACTTCATTTTTCACACCTGTTCTTTCACATACTGTGCCATCTTGCAAATGATGGTGCCATGCAACTATTATTTCCCAAAATTTAGAACCAAGTTCCCCAAAAAGCACAAATTAATCTTATCAGCATAACTTCCAGGAAAGTTAGCAAAATCCACGGCTATCTAAAGGCCGAGTTAGGCTTGAAATAGAAGATTAACACATTGAAGCTATGCAAAAACACTGAGGAAGGTAAAAATGACAGACAAAGATTGACTGGTGTAACACACACAAGCATTTGTTCAAGCAAGAATATTTGCCAAAAGCCTGCCGTGCTTGGCTACTTTATAAAAATCAAGCACAAGGCATTAAGCCAATTTGTTCAAACAATAAAAAACTCTCCAAAACCCCAAATCCCAATAACCAAGCAATAGCTGATTTCCATTTCTGAAAAACTGCAAAAATTTTCTGCATTTCACTATCCAAATCTTCAGTCACCGAAGTCTGATTTATTCTTATTAAAAATTTTCTTTTCTAAACCATATTTTCACACTAGGATTTCATCCTACATGACATGATCCTCATCCTCCTATTCTGCATCCAGAGAGATATACACATAGTTACAAACAACAGCTTTCTTATAACAGAAATCACACACTGCTTATGCTTCCGTACTTAGGTAATTAATCAGGGAGAAATGTGTGTCCGTAGCAGAATTCTTTTGGCTGAACCTCTTAGGTGACTTCAGCAGACAGCCAAAAGGAAACAGAACCCTCATTGCAACTGGTCACTTTTCCCAATACAAACCCAGTAGAACCTAAACCCCAGGTTATTTTTAAATTTTTGGTCATCCTATGAGATGAATCAGT